TTCCCTCCATCAAACAAGTACATTTCTAATTCACCCTGTAAGGAGGTCCAAAGCATACTAGACCAAGAGTCTATCACATCCAGCTTTCAGCAAATGCCATCTTTTATAAAAGAGGCAGAATATGCATCTTCTTAAAAACAGGTTTGATTAAAAAAATTACTTTGGAATGACAGACTTGAGGAGATGCGTATCAGACCATGGCTGCAGTAGAGACCATGCATAAAATACCTGTGAGTTCACTGCTGCATCCTGACAAAGAAAGGCTTGTCAGTGAGTAACAGTACAGCCTCCCGGCACGTGCTCCATGTTTTGTACATCTGCGGTCCTTACCTCTTGGCAGACACGGTACTGATCAATGGCCCAGACAGTCGGTACATGAGTTGCCAGCAGCTGATACTGAGTCAAAGTTGTATTGCACGCTCTTGCACAAATTAGACGAGTCTTTCCCACTGCATTATCTCCAACCACCACACACTTGATAGTTTCAACGTTGGGTCTTTCGTAGTCCATGTCAGTGTCCATTTATCAAAAACTGTAACAAGACAGTTAAACTTGTTTTCCACTACTGTGCAGAACCAATGCTATTTAGAATTAGAGCCTTCTACTTCCACTTCTTGAGAGGCTCCTGAAGACAACAAACTTAAGGAAAAGCTTGCAGTAAACTGTACCAAAGTAAGCTAGCCGATCCTTTAAATACCACAGTTATGCAAATGCACAACTGTTTTGACCGCAGTTGGTTTATGCTGAGCACATGCTATTTTCACTTTGGTTTCTGTAAACACAAGCCTGTTTGCAGAAGACAGATCTTGGTGAAACAAGGACACATAGCACAAACTTACCTCTTGCCAATACTTCTTATGCCAAGAAGGAGAAAAGACTGGACGTCAGTGGGTTTAACCTGAAGAATTCCAGTATAAACCTGCCTTCTGTAATCTTGCCCATTCAGGATTTGATTTAGGGCTGTCCAAACAATATTGCTAACAGCAAGTCAGACAGATGGTTTCAGTTATATGCACACAATAAAACTGACTTTTAAGATGACTCCAGAGACTCTGTTCTCTACAAACCTTAACTCCCTTTATAACTTGCATGTATCACACACTCTTAATTTTCCAAGGAGAAGTTTGTACAGATCATCGACTAAAATGAAACCAAACAGCCCAGCAGGAACTTGCAAATGCACTTATCTATATCAACAAAGTATTTTACACATGACAATGGAAAGTGCAGAGAAGGAGATCTTTGAAGATACTATCCTTGTGGAAAGTTATTATTGAAAATATTTACTTAAATATTCTATGGCAGCATATTGAACAAATGTCTCCATATGAATGTAAGCTGGAAGAAATGGCTATTTGGAAAAACTAAAAACAACTCCTGTTTGTTTACTACAGTCTATCATTTTCATATAAAGGAATGTGGGATTTTCTTATAAAAGAATGTGAGATCATAGTATGATAGATATGATTTTGGTTTTCTAATGTCTAGCAGTCTGCTGAGCGATCTGGTCTCTGCCAGGGAATTGTAATCAAGGAGGGACAACAGGGAAAATACAAGGCACAAACATGTTCAGGAAGGCTTGTCTAATAATTATTTCAGCAAGGAAACCTACAATTTAATTGACAAAATACAGGTCATCATCCAGAGTGACAGTGTCCTTTTTCCTCAGGAGAAAGCACTAAAGATAAAGGAACCAAATTATTTGTTTTAATATCTTTTTAAATATTCACATCTCATTTGCACATAAATATCAAATATATATTAACTGTCAGGCGGTTTAAGATAATAGATACAAGCTGTTCTGGTGTCCATTTTTCATTGTCAGAGGCACTACATTCTGTTGCAAGAAAAAGCACGTCTATTAATTACTAGCCAAACACTAATTTTAACTGCATTCCTTCATTACCTAAAGTCATGTAAACCAAGAAAAAAAAGTCAGTCTTAGAACCAAACACCCATTCATTTAAAATTATGAGCATGGACTGCATGCTAATAGCTACAATGGCTAAGGTACATTATAATCTTCATTTACATGTGAATGGGAGGAGTTAGGGACCACGGAAGGTGCAAAAGGGAGTTTATGCCACTACTGTGTCACACTGATAAGTTTTCACAGACATTGAATGCTTCTGGAAATGCTAGAGCACAGACTAGCAATTAAGAATACAGTTTAGAGAGTTGTTCTACACTAAGTGTAAACATGGGCCCAGAAACTCTTCATCCTGGCACAAGTACACGAGTACACAACTAGAGCTTTGCAACCTGCCAGATGTAGAGCAAATAACACAGCTTCAAACATACATGCACGGTATCAACTGCATATAAACCCTAATGGCCTTGTGACAGCAACCTGCTATGTCGGCACAGAGGTTTTAGCTGATAAGGAAACAAACCCATTAAGATATTGCCTTTATCCGTTCATCTGAGTTGCAACCTGCATCCTGACAGGTCACTAGACTTGAGGTAAAGGACTACAGAGACTTCTAGATACCTGTCTGTGATCCAACCACAGCTGTTTGCAGGACGCAAACTCCCATGAGGCCGATACCTGGGATAGCTCATGGGATCTGTACCATCTCCACGTGTCCACATACAAGAAGATAAATGAGAGCTAACTCCTCTTTCCTCCACTGCATTCTTTCCAGTTATACTGTCATGATATAAATAAAAGTACAAGACCAGTAATTTTTTTTCACATTACAGAGAATGAGACACATTTGTACACCACAGCCCCGAATGAGTAGCGAAAACCTAAGGGGTTTCAGTATGTGATCTAGAAAACTTTCATTTCTGAAGATAAACAGCAACTCCCTGACACAATATGTGGTATTAAATTACTTCATATTTTATTCATGCATGGACTAGACATCACAGATGGAATGTGGAAGTGTTTACAAGGCCAGAAAACAAAATGAAGGAGCGTGGCTAACCAGTGTGTCTGGTTGGTTTTAAACTACCAAGCAGAGAGACGCCAAACCATTTTTCTTCCAACCCAGTGTTTCATTAAAATGCTGTTACACAAATTGGTTGAGGTTTTATAGAACAACCTGATTTTTAAATTCTTCAAAAGTTCTTAAATGGTAATTCTGCAAAAACGTACTTCAGGCAGTCACAAAATACGTATAAAGTTCAGAGTCTTAAAAAAATTTCCAAGAGGATAACAAGGCGAGTTTAAAATTAATAGGCAAATCTAAAGTAGCAACAAAATAATGCAATTATTTGAGAATCCTAGAAAACGAACACATGAAAATAAAATTTTAAAATTGTTATTTTTTTTAATTTCCAATATGCTTACTAACTTTAATTAATCACAGAACTCAGACACAGCGTACCCAGATGCTCGGTTGTAGATCAATAGCAGTCTACTGAAGATAATTTTAGCATGATTCAATAATGCACAGGACAGAGACTAAAATAAACTAGAAATAAAAAAACAAACAAACTGGAGCTTTGTGGATATGTTAAGGAAAGTTCTTAAATTCACTCTGGTATAGATAGAGTATCTATATATGCATTAAAAATGCATATAATTTTAATATTGTTCACTAGTTTTCATAAAGATTAAACCAGAAATAGCTCCTGAAGAGACTGATGGAAAGAAGCCTGAAGAGGTATTTAGACACCTCAATTATAAACAGATGCTAACAACAAATTACAGTATAAACAATTAGCAAAACATGTGAATTAAATGCTCATAAATGTAGCCAGAAGACTTCTGGCTACTGAAATGATTAAAACCAGGAACACGTACAGGATCTTAAAAATACAGCCACCGTCAGTTTTTTTAAGGTAGCCTCTAGGTTAAGCTTGTGCTATACCTATTATAAAATCACACTGATTAAAAATGCTAAACACGTATTTACAAAACTTAACTAAAAAGCTGACATCTAGATTTAAGCTGGAACTGAAACAAAACTGGTTAGACAAGAGCAAGCCAGCTTAACTTAAAAAAACAGCATAAAATTCCAAGACCAATGAAAGACTTGCTAAAACCAACCTACAACCTGCAATAGTTCAGTTTACCAACAAAACCATATAGTAAGAGGAAAGTTACTGGAACAAAACAAATAAGTAAGAGGAAAGTTACTGGAAGTGTGACCAGTCTCAGAGAAGACACTGTCAAAAAAGCCAGAGAAAGACAGAAAGGCCACCAAATGAGGAGCAGTGAGAAACGTACTGGGTGAAAGATCTGATCAAATATGGCTGTTCCCCACCTCTCCTCCCTCAAAAAAAAAGAAAAAAAATTCAGCTGCTTAATCCAGTTCTAAAGAAAGATGAACAGACGGATGGAAACAAAAAAAGATACCCTGAAGAATAACACCGGATCTTAAAAATCTCTTAGGATGTTTCTATTTTTACATTGTCACCTGTGATTGTTTGCAGATGAAAAGGAGACAGCGGCAGCCAAAAATCAGGAGATGTGAGTAGACTCAAGATCCAAGATAAAAACATCTAATTAATTCACTTGATTAGCAGAAAAGAACTATCTCAAATAAAGCTGATTTATTTCCAAAGTAGTATAAGGTTACTGTTGAACACTGACTTGCAGATGGTTACAGTCACCGATTTCTTTCTCTGTTGCCTCACCTCAAATTGTTGTAGGGTGCTTGGTTTTTGTTTAGTTTTTCCTCATTGCTGAATGGGTTGTTATTACTATCACTAGAAAACAGTTGTGGTTGCCATAGCATGCAGGTCCTTCTGGCTAGTCAGCCTCAGTAATGAAACACTGTCTTTCAAGAGAAATTTTCCAAGACATCTGTAGATGAAGCATATAACTTGATTATCTAGTCCATTGGTACACAAGTTAAACACAATAGATGCACACAATCTCTCTATGTCAGTGTAGGTGTATTTATACACAAAAGATAACCAGATCCTAACCATGAACTTGTCTTGTTTTAAAAATGCAGTTTAATATATTTAAAGCTATAATTGCATTTTCTCTGCTGGAAAGAAAGTTGGGGAAGATTCAAACCCACCGACGAGTTCCCTGTGCAGGATCAGGAATCTAACCCTATGAATCTTACTGCCTATGCAGCTAACTGCCTCTTCTGAAATTTCCAGATATTTTAAATAATCACTTAGCACAAACAAAACATATCCAGCATTTTTTCAAAGAGCAGTAGCAATTACCAACCTTTCTCTCTTCAGCAAAACACCACAAACAAATTACTAAGAATGTCTACATTAATCAGTGATTATGGAGTGATCCTGCAGGCATCTTCTTAGCTCAGTACTTAAACACGTCCAATAAGACTGACATAGCTCTTCTAAGCAAGAAAACAAGCAAGCATTTTACTTAGCTCTTGGGTTAAGAGCAAACTCTTCAGCTTAAGGTTCAGAATGACACCATGGAAGAACTTTGTCTGCCCAGTAAAGTTTTTCTTTAAGTCATTCCATGGAAAATAAATTAATAATTCCGACCTGTCTCAAGTAATCTGACCAAACATGCAAACCAGGAAGTCCTTCAAACAAGCAGGTCACCAACCACAATTACAACGTCACAAAGAGTCTAACAGAAA